AACTGTAGGCCAAATCAACAATGTAACTGAGTTCTGGAACAACGCTTATATCCTACATGCATATGTATAGCAAATTCCTATACGGCTCAACTCTGTTCTAATTTGTCTGGCAGTGATGGAATTATGTTCCACTCGGCCTTTACCTTATATTCGATCTACTTCATTGCATACATTTAGGGCATTTGAAATCCATTCACATTTTCTCCAGAGCAGAACCAGGCCACTTTATTCTGTGTTCTTACATTTTTTTACCTTGTAAAATTTATCGTTCTTCAGCATATTCTGCTATTTTAATTCTCTAGTGCAGTTATTTATCTAAATGGGCTTCTAGATACATGATAGGTATGAATTGAATTTTGTTGATCACTCATAAACTTCGCTTTGCTATTTGGTATTTATTTTGTTACGAAATGCTATGCTGAGTTGATTAAGACAGCCTAAATTGTATACCGTGGCCTTTGATATTTTTCATAATTGTCTCTACTTTACTATTTTAGATAGGAAGAATAGCTAGGTTTATATGAATCTACTAATATAATGTTTTTAGGGTAACTCATTTCACACGGAAGGGAATTATGAAGTGATTCGAAGGTCGATCTCATCAGAAGATGGCGGCTGATTCCTGCCGTTTGGCTTTAATTTCGATGTTTAGGTTGATGCAGTCTACAAGGCATCTCCCTTCGTTTCGGGTGAAAACTTGATTAGCTTTTGTCCATCATATAATGGGTATCCTCTGAGCTGGAACTCATTCTTTTAAGTCATGCTAACACTAGGTTTATACTGGTCTCCTTGATCGGGTGTTAACGTGAGACTTCAAAAATGAATTCCAGCTCTGATGATATACAGCATATGATTTACGGAAGCTAAGCACGTTTTTACCCTAAACGAGGGAGGATATCTTGTATACTGCATCAATGTAAACGTCGTATTAAAGCCAAATGGCTGCTGTACAATGGAAGTCAGTCTTTGTCTTCTGTTGAGTATTTTCGCAAAAATCTTTATTTTATTTTAATTTGAAATGTACCTCTCACCGAAACTTTTACATTTCTTGTTTCATCTATCTCTTTAGTGATGAAAGTACATTCGGATTAGCTAATAAACTTTTTAATTTGTAATAATATATTCTATCAAATAAGAGCTGTAGTCACCCTAGGTCGCAAACGATTTCGGAGAACTGAATTTTTCTACAACCATACATGTAGGCCTCATGATACTATTTAATTTACCTGGTCTTGCGCCTTTTCAAAGGTATTCCTATTCACTCAAGGATTGCGGTACTCCATTTAGCTCCAACTTGAATCCTAAACAATAATGTTGTTTTGTCGCTAGGATTAATATATTAGTTGAAGTTTCATTAGCCTGTATGATCAGACTACCACTTCGGGCCATTATCTTTTTAACCTAAGTTTATAAGACTAAATTCGAAGTTCCAGATAGGTGGGTCTTATACTGCATGTCTTTCATGCATTAACTAAAGCCAACCAAAGCGACTTATCTCGTTTTATTACCTTTACCCTATTTAAATTTTTCGTCCTTATTCCAATATTTCATATTACCTTTATTTTTCTTATTCTTGCTTCTAAAACTCTTTTAGACTGGAGCCAGATATAGATGTAGCAATCATGGGTGCTGTCTCGTCCAGTGGAGGGCCCGGGTTCCAGTTATCTGGGCATCATGTTCTCGGCTATTCTGGTCTCAAAACCAGTTCCAACTCTGCCTGCTCTCCTGCCTCGCTACAATCTCAGCGTTCGAGTCCCGGTGGTTTTTCCAGCCCTTCCATGGGCGGCCCTGGCTCCAATACTAGTGGTGGTAGCGGGAGACTAAACGTCCAACCCACTATCGGTCCCACTTCCACAGGAATAGTGATAGGTTCGCCAGCCTCTGGCGCAACTCACTCATTGCCCCCTGGAATATCTGGAGTAGTAAGTGCTGATTTCATCAACTGTAACTTAGGTCAGTCCGTTTCGACTGGCCAAGCATCTGCTCTCCTTGGATTGGACGAAGCCCAATTCTCTGACTCTGTTGTTACAACCTCGAATTCGATCCCAGCACCTAACTCAGCATCCACAGCATCTGTGATATGTACGACTAGTGCAAATGTATCCACCGGAAGTCCAGGCAACAGTGGAGCCTCGCGCGCAGCTGCCGCCGCAGCTATGGCTGCTGCCTTCGGCTTCAGCTTCTCTCCTGCTGGGAGCCACCATTCCGGCCTTGGTATCCCTTCCACAACGACCTCCGCTACCTGCAGTACAGTAGCTAGTGGCTCCACTTCGCCACCTTGCGTCGGTAAGCTAGCTGCAGACACTATCCTCGGGCCTGGTGAATGCCTTTTATCACCGGACGATCTAAGTGCCGCGGCCGTTGCTGCTGCAGCATCAGCAGCTACTGGAGGGGCCAGTGAAGGAAGACCATTCCGCTGCCCGCAATGTCAACGTGGTTTTGCCGTGAAGGCTGGCCTCGTCCAGCATCTGCGCACTCATACGGATGAGCGGCCATACCCATGCAGTCAATGCGGACGTGCATTTAAGCAAAAAATTCAGTTGACTACTCATCTTCGTGTACACAGCGGTGAGCGGCCCTATGGTTGTCGTCTTTGTGGCAAGTTGTTCCGACAACAGAGTCATGTAGTTCAACATCTTAGAACACACACAGGGGAAAAACCTCACAAATGCGTCCGGTGTGGAAAGGCCTTCCGGCAGAAGTACAGGTGAGACCATGGTTGTCCTTACTGATTAGATATAAAAATCCCATATTAGTTTGTAAGTAGGTTTCAAGACTACTGCTGTTATACAAATCTTATTATCCAAATGTAGATATATCTTGTTTTGCTCAATTATTCATAATGATATTATTAGTCTGCTAAGCTGTAATAATTATATGAAAGTTATGGTCAGTATTACGGCATCCTAGCCCATTTATCTTCTCTTCCATCGTTACATATTACCTGTCTCATATTGCATATTTCTTTTATTTACAATCATGATTATTACACGGTCTCATCAAAATATAAAATTTTACGGCCGCATACATTTATCGTGTCTTCTGTGAAGACTGAGCCTTATTATATACTGCCCTCATAATTTTCTGTCATCTAGTAAACAAGATTTAAATATGAAGAGAAGCTAAAGAGGGGGTCTTAAGATTCTCTAAAAGATGGCATGACCGAGGAAAGCATTAGTATTTCTTTATGCGTTATCTTGACGCTCCTCTGTAATTCGCATATCTTTCTTTAAGGCTTGCGGGATGGATGAAGAGGTACCTAATTCCGTGTTTTGTCCCAAATAATTGTTTCCTTTCATCTTGTTTCTTAGTATTTTGAAATTTTTAACAATTAATTCTAATGAATAATTATTCTCAACTAAGATTCTTCTTTGCCTTTGTAACTCCTTATCCTGATGACTTACGCCCTCTAGTCGTAAACTCCTTAGTATCATTGATTTCATTACTCCTACTTTACTACCATGACTATCATTAGAGAAGAAATTAAGAG